GATTCCCCAAACTCATTTTAAAGGCCACTGTTGCTGAGGTAGAACTGTATATCTGTTTCCAGGGCAAAGCCATATGTTACTTGTATACTGTTATTGATTTTTTTTGGGGGGGGAGACTCTCCTAAACCCTACAAATTAATAAATGGTAGGATTTTGATTGTTTGGGGTGTGAAGGGAGAAATACAGGCTGCAGAGGAATTCCTGGACTAGCCTATGTAAAATGACCTGGCCAAGCTAGGTCCATTAAGAAACAAGACAAGGTGAGCCATTGGCAATGCAAGAGAACTGTCCTTCCTCCTTGCCTTGAGGTGTGAACAGAGACAGGGGAATTGGAAGGTTGCCCAGGGCAATTGGGTGTGGACAGGAAAAGAGAGTTTTTGAGCAAGGTGTTCTAGGAGGAAGAAGAAAGACTGGGAGCCATCTTGGTCAGGTTGGCTGAAGGCAGGCTGGGAGAGTCCATGGCCGCACTGCTGTGGGGGAGAAAGCCCCTCTTGAAATTACCATGCTGTAAGATCTGGACTCCCTCCATGCAGACTGAAGGTGTAAATGGGTGAATAAACCACATTTTTTAAAGCTACAACAGTCTCCGCCGTGTCTCAATTCTCCAAAGGAACACAGACCTTGGGTGAGTGCCTGGAACCCCATGGGCTCTTGTTACTGCTCAGCAGAGAGAGGGGGAGGCACCTTTTGTAACAATATTAATATATGGACGATGTCGAGACTATGAACAGACCTCACTGCTGGTAAAAATACAGTGGCAGCAGCTGTATGAAAGCAGGAACTATGTCAATATTGAGTCATCTCATGCCACGCTGCTCCTAATTTAAGGAGACATCAACTGCTCTTGGCTTCTTCCTTCTGTATTAGAGCTTTGGAAATAGGAGGCACATCTCTCAGTATATAAATTAAGGGATGCTGGAGCCTTGAAAAGAAACAGCTTTTCAAAGGGGAACCTATTATTTTTCCCTGCTCCATCCTTCTTCTGTGTCATCTGGGACCTTTCGCGCAAGGGCACCATTCTGTTTATTTACATTTATGTTTAGATTTGCATCCTGCCTTTCCACAAAAGAGTCCTGTGGGTGGCTCGCAACATAATACTATACAGTAATGCAATCAACATCAATCAAAATCAGAAACAGACGTGGCGAAGAAGAAGGGCTGTATGCAAGAGCATTGTTCTAGTAGCCTGGGAAAATAAACAAAATGTTTTTCCGGCTAATATAAATGAATCGGTTTTGTAGCTCTAGTATATCCTATTCATGTCATGGGGACAACCTTCAGCAAGAAAAACTCAGTGGGTGGTGGCAACCAAAGAAGGGCCTCATCTCTCAATATCTGCAGTCATTCCCCCCTTGTTCCTGATATAGATCTCCACTCAACTCTTCTTCCCTGCTGGGGAAGCGGGGTGCCATTTTGAGATTCACCTCAGGTGCCAAAATGTTTTGGGCCAGCCCTGTGTGAGTTATCTCTGAAACTACTGCCACCCTTTGACATTTGTGGCTTGACAGCCCAATCCTCAGAAGCAAGCTTTACAGTGGTACCTCAGGTTAAGTACTTAATTCATTCCGGAGGTCCGGACTTAACCTGAAACTGTTCTTAACCTGAAGTACCACTTTAGCTAATGGGGATAAATGCTGCTGCCGCGCCGCCGGAGCCCGATTTCTGTTCTTATCCTGAAGCAAAGTTCTTAACCTGAAGCACTATTTCTGGGTTAGCGGAGTGTGTAACCTGAAGCGTATGTAACCTGAAGTGTATGTAACCCGAGGTACCACTGTATTAAGTTCAAAGAGACTTGCTCCCAAGAAAGTTGCAGAGCCTCACTGTGCACTAACGCCTATTTTTGCATAGCTGAAAATTTCAGCATTCTTGCATTTATTTTTAAATGAACATCATCAAAGAAGGGAAGAAATTTGGTGCGGACAAGGCGAGGAATGTAACCTCTTTCTTACTTGCGTGAGAAAGAAAAGTAGCTGCACAGATGAAGGAGATTCACAGGCAGAATCTTAATTCTCCCAAGTGAAAATGAATGGGTAAGGACTTGTTCAGTCTCTTGAAGAACTGAATCCGTTTTGATTGCTTCAAATGAAGCTACAGGCCACATCAAAGTATTTTTGTATACTCTGCCCCCCCCCACCCCCGTGTTACATCAAGTCCCAGGTAGTAAAGCACTACTTGCCAAAAGGAACATTTGCAAGATGAGCGAATGACAAACAGGAGCTGTTAATCCAATTATATGAACAGTATTTATCACTCAAGCAACTGGCAATTTGAAACTTGCAGTGGGTAGAAATATGCTGAGCTGGGAATCGTGACCTTGAAAACACACACACACAGACATCCTGGAGAGAAGATGGTCCTTTGGAGACCTGTAACTTCACTCAAAAGGTACAGACCTCAACTACACACAATGTCAGTGCACAGAACAATGTTTTAAATTTTACACTTAGGCCTCAGAGAGCTCTCAAATGACTATTCCGTATTGGGAGGTTTGTGAGACTGTTATATTTTGTTGTTGTTGTTGTTGTTGTTGTTTAGTCGTTTAGTCATGTCCAACTCTTTGTGACCCCATGGACCAGAGCACGCCAGGCACTCCTGTCTTCCACTGCCTCCCACAGTTTGGTCAAACTCATGCTGGTAGCTTCGAGAACACTGTCCAACCATCTCGTCCTCTGTCGTCCCCTTCTCCTTGTGCCCTCCATCTTTCCCAACATCAGGGTCTTTTCCAGGGAGTCTTCTCTTCTCATGAGGTGGCCAAAGTCTTGCAGCCTCAGCTTCATAATCTGTCCTTCCAGTGAGCACTCAGGGCTGATTTCCTTCAGAATGGAAAGGTTGGATCTTTTTGCAGTCCATGGGACTCTCAAGAGTCTCCTCCAGCACCATAATTCAAAAGCATCCATTCTTCGGCGATCAGCCTTCTTTATGGTCCAGCTTTCAATTCCATAAATCACTACTGGGAAAACCATAGCTTTTACTATATGGACCTTTGTTGGCAAGGTGATGTCTCTACTTTTTTAGATGCTGTCTAGGTTTGTCATTGCTTTTCTCCCAAGAAGCAGGCGTCTTTTAATTTCGTGGCTGCTGTCACCATCTGCAGTGATCATGGAGACCAAGAAAGTAAAATCTCTCACTGCCTCCATTTCTCCCCCCCTTTTTTTTTGCTTTATATGCACATCCAAAATACAGATTCCTCACTTCCTGTGGCCTCTGTATCATCTCAACACCAAAGGATGAAGGAAATGTAATGAGTGGGTTGGAATGATCAGACAGGATACTCCTGGTGAGAAAATGTATTTAGGAAATTCCACAGGCTGGGACCAGCTTGACATTCAGTAGGAATGGCAGCTAGCGCTATGTAACCACTATTCCTTCTGAAGATATGCTAACAACCTCAGCAACTCCGCACAGCAGGGCTGCTCATTAGCTACTTGAGCAAAAGGAGAGATTTGTAAATGGCTAAACAAAGAGGTAAACACAAGGTGGTGGTAGCTCTCAGCTGTAACAACAACAAGGAGGCTTTTCACTGTATAAACAAACAAAGCAACCCCCATCCCTGTTGTGTGAAAGAAGCCTTAATTCATAGGTATAACATTGGGGTAACCACTGAAAAATAAGTAACTGTGTCTGAGGTAACCGTGGCACGATTATGTATGCTTCACCCACAGTGGCCAATCTGTCATGAAAGAGCATGTAAAATTTTATTTAGCACCTATAGTTCACATCATGAGCACACAAGCATGTGGATTTCCAGAGAGGTGATGGTCACAACTTTGTTCTCCTCTCTGACCATTTTGCTCCCCTGCAGTGGCGAAGCTGCATGCTCCGCTACCGGGGGGCGGAGAGCAGACGGGGGCGTGGCTGGTGCCCCCAGTGGGCATGGTATGCGCCCCCGGGGGCGTGACACACACCTGGGGGCGTGGCCCGCCACCCGAGGGCATGGCACGTGTTCTGGGGGCGTGGTGCACTGCCTGTGGGTGTGGCACCCTACTGGAATAGTGGTGCCGGGGGCGGTCCACTCCCTCCGCACTCCTGTTCCTCCGCCAGTGCTGTGAGAAACCATGGTTTGGTTAATGTGTCATCCAGATCCAGACTCGTGCTTCAGCTGGCTCCAAAATAAGGAGCTGTAACCAAGATTTAAGGTCTGTATAATTAAAGCTATGGTTTTCCCAGTAGTGATGTATGGAAGTGAGAGCTGGACCATAAAGAAGGCTGATTGCCAAAGAATTGATGCTTTTGAATTATGGTGCTGGAGGAGACTCTTGAGAGTCCCATGGACTGCAAGAAGATCAAACCTATCCATTCTGAAGGAAATCAGCCCTGAGTGCTCACTGGAAGGACAGATCCTGAAGCTGAGGCTCCAATACTTTGGCCACCTCATGAGAAGAGAAGACTCCCTGGAAAAGACCCTGATGTTGGGAAAGATGGAGGGCACAAGGAGAAGGGGACGACAGAGGACGAGATGGTTGGACAGTGTTCTTTAAGCTACCAGCATGAGTTTGACCAAACTGCGGGAGGCAGTGGAAGACAGGAGTGCCTGGCGTGCTCTGGTCCATTGGGTCACGAAGAGTCGGACACGACTAAACAACTAAACAACAACAATCCAAGGTTTGCCCCTGTGAGCAGACCTGAGGTAATCCGAGTTATTAATGATCTATCATTTCACCTTCAACTTGCATTTGCAAGAGAGATACGAAGTGAATTGTTATGGATTACTTCACTCTGGTTCCCACATAAATGCACTCAAAGAAGCTTGCAATACAGTAAAACTGCAAAAGAGGGGCTAAAAAATTCAAAAGCATACAGAGCGGCTCTTTTTGATCAGATCCCCTAGAAAGTACCAGTGATTCAAAATTATTACTCCTCTCCACTAACTACATTGTAATGGAATTTTGTGGTGGGAAAGGGACACTTTCACACAATGCATTGAAAGCACTGTGATACAACTGTAAACAGCAATGAATTCTGGGAGATGTATTTTTTTAAGGGTGCTGGGTGTAGTTAGGAGGCCTCCTATTCCCTCCACAGAGCTACAATTTCCAGATAAGTTTAACAATCAATCCCTTTGCATGGGGAACTCTGAGAACTGTAGCCCTGTGAGGGGAATGGGGGATCTCCTAACAGCTTTAAGAGCAAAAGAGGGACCAGGAAAAGGAGCCAAGATGCTCCTCTCTACATGGTTCTCCATGATGGGAGTGGTGGTGGGAATAGGCATCTGAAGAGAGCTAAGGAGGAAGCAGAACGGGCAGGAAGGAGCGTGGCACATGGCCAGGAGCAGTAGTAGGCTGAAGTTCACATATTGATTTCAAATAACTAACCAGATCTTGGACCACAGTCCTCGGTTTTGTCTTTCTGAGGACAGAGGAATTAGCACAGAGATGCTATTCAGGACGTGGCTTCAAGATTACCCAGTCGGCATTTCTATACACTGGAATTTCTGTTCAAGAGACATTCCTTCCCTCCCCAACATGCATTCCATTCCATGTGATGTTCCTTAGAAGCGCTTTTTGATTAGACTTTGCTGGTAAAAAATTCATGTGGTCTGCTGCACAGGTGGGTATAGGAGAACATGGGTGCTTTTTATATCCAGTTGGCTTGTCTTCTTTGAAGAACACATCGCTGCTGCCTTAAGACTTTTTTTTTTTTAAGCACACAGCACAAAGATTTCAAAGAGAATATTTCCTCTTGATTCTCTTCGCTGTGGGGCAGTCAGATGCAAGAAACGCACACACACAAATTCTCTCTCTCTCTCTCTGATTGTGGCAGCCAACAGGAAGGACAAAAGCAGTTGTTTTCATCAAAATTCTTAGTCACACCATTCACATCATGACCCTAAGCTGGTCTGAAAGAGAGAAGCAAACAACCCTTTCATATAGCGAATAGGCCTTCTGAAATAACCTCACCTACATCTAAGGAATATCTTGAAGCTGGTAGGAGTGGGTAGGACCCTTCTATCATCTATCTATCTATCTATCTATCTATCTATCTATCTATCTATCTATCTATCTATCATCTATCATCTATCTATCTATCCATCCATTACTGGCTTTTCCTTTAAAAATAGAATAAAAAATGAACCTAGAAGTATGTTTGTTCTTATATAATTGAGATAGTCTTCTTCTTTGGCGATCACTCGTAGCCAAGTAAGATTGTCTTCCATGAATATGGTCTTCACAGTGGGTCCGTAAGTGACTGTGGAGGTCAATTCTGGATCCACACGTCCTTCCACAGTGGGGACAGGGGTTTCCAGGTGGGAGTTGATCATGGTGATGGTTTGCCAAACGTGCTTTTCTCTTAGCACGTTTCTCCGTTTCGTCCTGCGTTCTAGTGTCTTCAAAGTCCATGCTGGCCTTATTTGGTAGCTGTGGTGGGCCGCAGCAGTGCTCTGATGAGTGAGCTGTTATTTTAATTTCCCAGACCCCACTGAGGGGCTGTCATTTTAACTTTTCACAGTACCAAGTTCCACAAGGGCATTGTAGGAACCTCAAGATGTCACAGGTACTAGCCAATCAGGTGCTCGCGACTCCTTCATGGCCACCTTGTGCATAGCCAAGGAGGAGTGGTGGAGACCACCTCCCCACCCTGACCCTTCCAGGGAGAAAGAAGAGGAAGACAGTATAGATTTACAACAGTGGTTTGTGGGAGGTCACAGCTCATAGGCAGATGAGGGGAAAAGTTGGGAAATAATGGGAGAGGAGGAGCAGGCAGAGCTGGAGCAGCAGCTGGCTGCCACGTTGTCACTAGAAAGCATTCCAGACCCATCTCCCAGAACCTGGCAAGCCTTAAAAGTAGGAGAGCAAATGGCCACTCCATACACTCGCATGCACACACACGCAGAACACACAGACAGACACACACAGAGGCAGGCAACCTCCCTCAGCCTTAGTTGATCTGTTCAAATCAGTCAAGGTAGGGAGTTGTCGCTCTCAATCTCCGCTCATTAAGTGATCAATCTGATGAAGGAGTCATCTGCCTCTCTCCATCAGGGTGCTGTCCTCTGCCTAGACCGTGGTACTGTACCTTGGGTTAAGAACTTAATTTGTTCTGGAGGTCCTTTCTTAACCTGAAACTGTTTTTAACCTGAGGTACCACTTTAGCTAATGGGGCCTCCCGCTGCTGCCACGCGATTTCTGTTCTCACCCTGAAGCAAAGTTCTTAACCCGAGGTACTATTTCTGGGTTACCGGAGTCTGTAACCTGAAGCGTCTGTAACCCAAGGTACCACTGTATCAGCACTGTGTCATTTTTCTTTTTTTCTTGAACCACCACCAAAGTGATTAGGGTCTTGGAGGGCCAGATAAATATGTTTGGGGAACAGATCCAGAGGTCAGCAAACTTTTTCAGCAGGGGGCCGGTCCACTGTCCCTCAGACTTGGGGGGGGGCAGACTATATTTTGAGAGGGGGAAATGAACGAATTCCTATGCCCCACAAATAACCCAGAGATGCATTTTAAATAAAAGCACACATTCTACTCAAGTAAAAACAGGCTGATTCCCGTCCCGGGGCCAGATTTAGAAGGCGATTGGGCTGGATCTGGCCCCCGTGCCTTAGTTTGCCTACCCATGGATGGCACTCTCAAACTGGGGGTTAGCCTTGGATGAAGCATTATGTACCCATAATAAAATGCAATGCAATAAATAAAATAAAATAAAATAAAATACACACTCTCTCTCATCTCTGTGTTCCAGGACATAAAGAATATAACTGAGACAGTCCTTACCAAGACTCCAGAGACTGCACAGTAAATGTTAGCTTCCCTTTTCCTTTGTAAAAGATTGCAGATAACAACTTCCCCAAGAGAAAAATGTTGGCATAGCCTGTCTAGGTTTGAAATAAGATGGTTCCCTCTGCTCACATCAAAATACACTGATTGCTGTGAGTGTTGTGGGCTGAAGGCTGTGCAGGGAGATATCTGATGGCTGAAGTGTTCTGATTTAGGGCAGCACAGTTGTCCAATTTGGAAATGCATTCCACATTAAAGCAATCTGCACTGCCCTCCATGGATTTCAGCTGCCTACAGACACAGCATTTTATTTTAGAATCAATGGAGACCGAGTATTTTCCTACACAGTCCATATACAGTGGTTCCTCGGGTTAAGAACTTAATTCGTTCTGGAGGTCCGTTCTTAACCTGAAACTGTTCTTAACCTGAGGTACCACTTTAGCTAATGGGGCCTCCCGCCGCCGCCGCACAATTTCCATTCTCATCCTGAAGCAAAGTTCTTAAACCGAGGTACTATTTCTGGGTTAGCGGAGTCTGTAACCTGAAGCACCTGTAACCTGAAGCATCTGTAACCCGAGGTACCACTGCACAATCTAGATCTATCCCATATATTTTTTTGGCCCTGAAAAGTACTTCTTGAGAAACTGATTTCATTCAAGAAATAAAAGCTCGTGGGAGGAGGTTGATTCTGCAGTGTGTCCATTTGAAAACGGATGGAAGCAGGCGTAGGCAGTCCTGGCAGTGGTGTGTGTGTGTGTGTGTGTGGCACACTACACACCATCAGGCAGAATGGAAGAAGGTGCCATAAGATGCGTTAGATCTACCTCTCCAAAGGTGGAGAAAGAGCTCCGACCTGAGAGAGAAAGAGAGAGGAGACTGGATCCTCCTGCAACACTAGCATGGAAATTATATAGTGCCTGGAGTGTTGAGCTTAGATCAAGACACAGCGGGTTCGAATTCCACAAAGCCCACTATGCAACCTTGGGCTTCTCGAAGCCTAACTTACCGTATTTTTTGCTCTATAAGACTTGTACTTGAATTGTGCTCAGAAACGTACTGGGAGCATTGCCTCCATTTTTTCCTGTAGCACATTAAGAAGAAAGCACCACACCTGAGTACAATTGGGGCTCTTTCATTTGCTTACAAGCTGGCTTGGGGGGGGGATTTCTGTTTTCACAGCAAACAAAGAAAAGGAGCCAGCTGATTGCCAAAACAGATAAAGGGTTAGTGTCGTAAACTTTATGAATGCTGACCCTCAGGGTTCTGTGGCTTCAGTGGCAAATGGTGCGGCCTGGAGAGAAGCATATCTGATAACACCCACACCCACACACCCAAACACCCTAGGAACGTTAACAGGCACACTTTAACGAGGCGTGTTCTTCCTGTTACTAATGATCCCATTTGTTCCCAGAAGATTGCCTCTCTGGTTCTTGTACCCCAGTGGGCCCAGCAGACTTTTGGGCAAGAATGCCTCAGGAGGAGACATAGCCGGCCGTGGGGAGGCAGGGATCTTAATCTCAGCAACTGTTTCGTGGGGGCAAGGCCTGACACTCCTGTGCAGATCCTGTTTTGCTAATACAGTGGTACCTCTGGATGCAAACGGGATCCATTCTGGAGCCCCATTCGCATCCTGAGTAAAACGTAAGACACCACTGCGCGTCTGCGCTTGTGTGGGTCGCGTTTTGCCGCTTCCGCGCATGACATCATTTTGAGTGTCTGCGCATGTGTGAGCGGCGAAACCCGGAAGTTACGCGCTCCGTTACTTCCGGGTCGCCGCAGAGCCTAACTTGAAAATGCTCAACCTGAAGCACATCTAACCCGAGGTATGACTGTAAAGAGTTAACTTCAGCTTGCTAAGTATGATTTACTGCTGGCTCGGTCAGTGCACAGGGGGAGGCGAGGGTGGAAAGTCCAGCTGCCCAAGTGGAAGCCCTTTTGCATACCCTCCAACATTTCTCCAGTGAAAACAGGGACATCCTATTCCATACCCTCCAACATTTCTCTGATGGAAATTTTGTTGTTTAGTTGTTTAGTCGTGTCCAACTCTTCGTGACCCCATGGACCAGAGCACGCCAGGCACTCCTGTCTTCCTGATGGAAATAGGGATGTCCTAAGAAAAAGTGGGACATTCTGGGATCAAATCAGAAACTGGAATGGCTTCTGTAAATCTGGGACTGTCCCTGGAAAACAGGGACACATGGAGAGTCTGCTTTGCACAGCTTCTGCTGAGGGGACTCACTACTGGAGTCCTTCCCATAGTAATTATTTCTATATTTGCATCTATACAGATAAATTAGCATGTGTGCATTTTACACAAACCTGTGTCTTTTGCTTTCTCTTCTGGCAATGCATAAAACGATACCTGTTAATTATTCTGACCCACCAAGCCTTGCA